GGGTAGTGGAGAGGGATATTCAGTGATCTACAGTGTTCACATATGAAGGTTTCAGTGCTAAATCAATTAAATATAGTAAAGGAGTAAGAGTAGTAGAAGTTGAGAGTAAGAATAAAAGCAGATATAAACTGTCAGTTTAATTGGAGTAATACGACCCATCATGAAACCGTCTCCCAGAGACCTGCTTCCACACTTCTCTTCCACATCTCATCTGGCCATGTGCTATTGTGGCGTTATATGTATACAGTTATGTGGGGGCCTGTGATATATATTAAGCTCTCCCCATCGTATAGTCATCTTTTATTTGATTTGTTTCCAGCACTGTATTGTGGGGGCCTGTGTTCAATGAAAAGCTCTCCCCATCATACAGCTATCTTTTAGCTGATTCAATTCCAGCACTGTACTGTGGGGGCCTGTGTTTCATATTAAGCTCTCTCCATCGCACAGCCATCATTTGGCTGGTTAGAATCAAGCACTTGTAATATGTGCCAGTGAGTTTGTGATAACTCATACTGCATGAGTGTGCTGTATTTTTTCGTAAACATTTATCCATAGCCTCGGGAGATCGGCACAATCCTGGCCAACACTGGAAGGAGAGAAATAAGCAAATAAAAGTGGGTGGACGTACAGTAACGTGAAATGCTAGATTTTCGTCCGACGTTGTTCGATTCAGATTGTACAAGTTTCACTGGTAAATGATAACCTCAGGAATATACATACTTTTTACAGAAAAGGAGAAGAATTTTCGGAGGAAATAGTAAGATAGCTCCAGCAGTTGTCGGAGATCAAAATGGGAAAATTGGTGATGCGAAATAATTTTGCATGGTACTGAGAAATGTTGTATGTACGCATGGTATTTTTCAGGGAGGGATAAAAAACTGTACGCAAAGTAAAGTAAGTTAACTGTCGATCCAACTGTTCAGCTGTGTGCGGTAACAGGAGAAGCTGATTTCGATGAGGGGATTTGTTCAGAGTGAATGTAAGCGTGGAAGATCATGGTAGGTTTTCGGAAGGTGTTATCAAATGGATCCAGTTCAAAAGCAGAAGGATTAAATCAACATTGATTTCGCTGAGCACGTAACACAGCAGCTCGTACCTAAGGGAGGGGTCCAGGGGAAAAGATAAGTAGAAAATAATAAGCGTTGCAGAACAGACGCGAAATGATTTGCTCGAGAGGAAATCTAGGGCACATTTCCGTCTTGGTGAGTGTGAACTTCATTGTTAATCAGGATATTTTTGCCTTTAGAAAACACGTTATTGCTACTGATAAAGTTGGGGAGGGCAGTAAGATCGGGCAACAGGAGAATGAAAAGATCCCCTGATATTGATACTATATCCATCTTGCTCCTATTTCGTACGGGGATTCACCTGTCATGGTAGGTTGCAATATACCGATCGCTGTTTCGACGTTTAGAAAGGAATGTATAACGTGTCGGAACTTCATCCCTAACTGGATTGCACGTATCTCAGATGGAAGCCTGTTCCACAATATGGAGTATCGATTTAGGAAAAAGTTGTCAGATAGTTTCGTTCGTGATCTTTTCACTTTTACTTTATTGTGATTGTTATTTCGGATGCGATAATTTGATAATTCTGCTCGTTGTACCGATGGGCGTGAAGAATGTATTTTTTGGGTAATTGTATCAAAGAAGATGAAAAGGTTAAGTTTCATTCTTCGCAGCCACAATGGATCAAGTTTTAAGGCAACGCAACGATCCATGTAAGATAGGGTGGTGGAATAGCCTAGAAGACGCTTAGTAAATGATCGTTGAACACGTTCCAATGCCATACGATCACTCACTCTAGAATTACAGTAGGTGATGGAGCCATATTCAAGCAGCGGGCGCGTTTTTATTTTATACATGGTGTTAATGGATTCTTTTAAGTTAAATGTTTTGAACAAAAGCCCAATGCTTCAGCGGGCTTGAGCTGCGGTGTGTCCTGCGTGTTCGGAAAAGTTAAGGGTGCTCGAGTAGTGGATCCCTAGGTCACGGATAGTGTGGCAGTGAGACAATGGTTTACCATCTATAGTTAGCGAACCTGGTGTGATGTCACATCTGTAGGATACCACGTGGCATTTATCAGTAGAGAACGTCATCATCCATTTGGAACTCTATGAGTCCAGTGTACGTAAGTCATGCTGAATTTCGCTAAGCATATCACTGACCTCAGTTGGATTAAAAGTGTAAACAATTTTGATGTCATCGGCAAACAGGAAAGGTTTGCCGGAGGCAAAGACATCAAAAATATCATTTACGTAAAGTAGGAATAAAAAGGGTCCCAGAACACTACCTTGTATCACACCACTGGTGACAGGCTTTGGCGTGCTTGTTTCGTGCTCGATCTGAACAACCTGTGTTCTATTAGTTAGGTAAGAATCAAACCATGCAAGCAGAGGGTTGTCTATGCCATATGCAGTTAGTTTGGATGAGGTGGTTATGAGGGACACGATCAAATGCTTTGTGCATATCGAGGTAGCTGATTATCGCTGAGGAACCGTCATCGAGCGAAGTAGTCAGGAGACTGAGAAAGTCTATCTGACATGTTATGCAGGATCGCGTGCTTAGGAAGCCGTGTTGTGAGGTGTTGATAAGATTTCGCGACATCATGAAGTCCACAGTTTTGGACTTTATGTGACGCTCCAATAAGCCATAGAAGTATGGCTTATTGGGCGGTAGTTGCTCATTTCATGCACAGAGCCTGACTTGTAGCGAGGAATGACTACATCCTTCTTCCACTGTAATGGCACGGTACCGGTGTTCATGGATAGAGAATAAAGATGCAAAAGTAGTACAGGGAAGTCAGATCCACCGTGTTTTATAAGCGTTGGTGTTAATTTGTCAGGTCCGGCATACCATGATGACTTCGTAGAGGTGATAAGTCGATTTATATCACGACGTTCAAACTCAACTGTGCAAATCTTGTCATCAGTAAGCAGAGGGATATTGTGCGAGGGAGTCGCAGCAGTGGTGTTAAAATTAGAACAAAAGTAATTATTGAAATCCCTGCTTATTTTAGCTGGATTGTTAGTTATTTGGTTACCAGAAATCAGGATGGATGGGGTTTCTGTATTCTTGTTTCTATATTTCATCAGCTTGGTGAGTTCTAGGTTTTTATTCATGCTATTTAGCGCCCGTCTTTCTACGTCCATAAGGCTGATATGCCGAAGTCTGTCAAGTTGAGCAAGGATTTTTGTTGTAGCAATACTAGGGAGAAGTCATTTGTTTTCAAGTATTAATTTCGGAGTCGTGCAAGTTTGCGTGAAAAATTATCGGGGGTGGACTCTAATTTTATTTTTCTGGAATGACGGCAATAATTCAGTGGTATTAGAGCATCTAGACACATCTCAATGTTCTTGTAGAACTCATCGGCTGCCACTTGTGGATCATTGTTTAGGAAGAAATTTTCCCAGTGCAAGGATCTCAGAAGGGCGGAAAGCGATTCCATGTGTAACAAATTGTAAGGTTGGTAGAG